ATGTGCTAATTACCATTTGTGTAAGAACATGTTTAGGCTGACTTGGGAAAATGCTGGTTCTTAGTCGCGGGTTTTTACTGTAGCATATCTTGCCTCACTAGTAAAGCAATCCAAGATTGCAATCTTGGACTCTAGATTGGGGAAGGCACGCTATCGATTCCGGATTCCCTGTACTGATTCTGGATTCCTTATCAGTGGAACTTGCCATTCCTTGAGCTGAATTCCGGAATCCGAAGCCCAGGATTCCAGACTCCACAAGCAAAAACTTTCATAGAAAAAATCGAGATCGGAATATAAATTTAAAGACAGACGTATCGATGAGTAACCTGTGCAAGATCAGACAGATACAAGCGTTTCTCTCCCATTTAGTCGGCATTTTTAAAAATAAAACTATACTTGGGAACAAACGAAACTGTCCGTCGGTTATGTAAGAGTGTGCGTCATGGGCAGGGGTGCTTACCATTTATACAAACCACCCGGATGAAAATCTTGTACATAAACTAAAACTATAAAATTTGACGTGATGGGAGCACGACCAGTTGCAAAATATATCCAGAAAATGACAGAAAAGCTCAACCGACTTGAGAGTAGGAAGTGGAATCGCCTCAGATCACAGTCCATGTTTTCTGAAGCTTCCGTCACAAACCGAATGGGGCGAATGCATTAGATCTTCAACCCGGAATTTCCGGTTTTTCCCATGTAAATGGTAAGTACCCCAATTGTCCGTAAAGTGGAATTCCGCGGGCATCTCAAAATGTAGTCCTGGAATATTCCAAAATTTTCGGACTTCCCGAGTGTCATATTTCGTTTTGGGGCCACAAAAAGGGTTTCAACTTTCAGTAGGATTACGTCAAGGTTTAAGAATCCTCGCAGCAACATACCTTTCCTAATGGGCATGGCCGGACTACCCTCACGATGAGTTTCAGCTCTTAACTCCTATTTCCTGCCTGCACGCAGCCTGCGTAGCAAACGTTTTCATGCGGTCCGGAGCAAAGAGCGGGGAACGAGAGTTAAAGACCGCCCGAAAAATGGCCCCTCTTTCATTTTTTGGCTCTTATTCCATTTTTCGTGCGGCCAAACCGACAATCCCGCTCCTCGGTCCTTCATTGCTCCGAAACCGCACGGAAACGCTTGCTACGCAGGCTAGTCTGCATGTAGATAAAGGGCTCCTGGTAGATACTAATGGTACAACATTTTGGGAGAAGCCATCCACAATGCAAACCTGTAACGGCACAAACGTCAATAGGACAGGTAGGAGGAAAGCGCCAAAAGCGTGTCCAAAAACATGTTCGAGAGGGGTCAAGAAGTATCAACGAGATGCCGACATGACACTACTGAACCCTACAGAAGACGAAAAAACCCCCATAACATGCGTAAACTGGCTTTCACGATACGCTCAAAATAAAATATATTAAAAGAGAGCTTATGTTAATAGAGAATTACAGTCTATAACAAACGTCAACTAAAAAATTCTTAAAGCATAACTACTAAAATTCTACAAGTGAGCAGATAAAAGCCAAAAGTTTCACGACGTAGCGCTTGAAAAAGTTGCGTGGCATTGGGAGGAACAACATGAAAAACTTTTGGGTAAGCTTGTTTTCCGAAAGGATATACTAGAGGAAACCAAAATTTTACCAAATATAGACAAGAGACTTACCAGTGCAGTCATAAACGCAACACTTCTGGGTGGCGGACAAGAATGACGGAAAACTGCCAAGAGGCTTGGCTCAGCTATTAGAATGTCCTGATGTCTGCGTGGGGTAGGGTAACTAGTTGTGATGCCAGATGGTCGTGAAGCAGAGAAATCACGACAACGTTTTCAAACCCAAAAAGCGGTGCGTTTCGTCTTAAATCAGTATTTTCTGGAGCTAGGGTTGTAAGTGGTGACGGCTTTTCATGATACGATAGATCATGCACGTCTTATGACATACCAGGGATAACTGAATAATGTCAATTACTTTCACATGAGGCGCCACCCCTACATTCCCTAATGGTGTGTGTCACTGTTTTTCCGGGTCTCTGGAGCTGTTCCAAACCAGGAAAGACGGACGGGAGTTGGGGGAAGTACTACGGAGTAATCAGGGGCACCCAACGAGAATATAGTTCAAACCACTTATATATAAACATAGCGCTTTTAAACGTATTTTAGTATTTAAACGGTAGATATAGGCATATCTTTATCCCCTAAAAATTTGTCATCTGTTCGGATTTCCTAGCTGAAAGTCTCGTGATCAGAAAATTATAGGGATCAAAACTTACCTTTTCGAAAATTTCTGCCAGAAAAAAGGCTCCCGAAAATTTTAGGTGACCTTTTTAGGGTGAAAACCCGTTAAAAATGGGCAATTATACCATTTTTTAGAAGTTCGATAATCCCAGGAGAGGCAGGCAAACAAGAAATTTTACAACAAATGTTCCGAAAATTCTAGATCTCAAATCGTCTTCCGAAAATTGGCGTAGGGTGCCCCCGAGTAATATACATTCTCTCTTGACGATTGCACCAAGACAGGGAAGAATCTTCTTCCCCAGGGTAGTCGGGGTACGTACCAGGGAAGAGATACACTTTCCACCCTTCAACGTTGTTTTCATAGAGGAGACAACATTTTCACCAATTTCAGACGAAAGACATCTCAAGTTTTAGCCAGAATAAACTGACCTGTTACCAAAAACGTGACAGTGAAAAACAAAACAATCTATCATGTTGGGTCCTCTAGATCTGGGTGTATCATTAATACATAGGGAAAACTGCCAGGAAGCATCCGAATCGATCGTCTGTTATATTAACGTGTCCGTAGGTTTGACGTTTTGATTGGTCACGTTGTTGGACCTGAAAGCAACTTGAAGAGCATGTTTCAAATTGCAAATTTCAGAAAATCACTTGCCAGTTAGTGCTACGAAATTCAGAGTTTGGGAGAGATGAGAAAATCCGGAAATATATCAGAAGAAAATGTTGAAAATTTTAACAGGACACTTTTTAAGCGTCATAGCAGAAACGTGACTAGCCTTTCACGCAGACTTCTTGGCGCCTCGTCACGCGTTCTTTATCCATGAAGAAATGGGAAGGAACGCGTATTTGAAGCCCTAAAAAGTTTGCGTGGGAGGCTAGAACGTGACACCTCTAATGCTCCGTGCATCATTGCACGAGGAAAAACTACCAGGAAGGTGCCAACTGATCTTTGCGAGGTATTTTTGCGGAGGAGTCATGTCACATCACTTGATATTTTGAATTGTCACGTTTTTGGACCCAGAAGCGAATTCTCAAAAGCATTCAAACTCTTTCGGTAAATTATGGTAGTCATTGCTACGAATTTCCCGAGGAGCCGACTAGAGATCTAGCTTTGATCCGACAGCAGACGACTTTCCCAGTTTTAGTCGCACTCACTTTCGGCCGGAAAAGGCGTTTCATCCCGAAGAAAAAACGAAAGTCGAAACGAAGACGCTCAGACACTGGTCGGAAACATGAAGACACACGAAGACGTGGCGAGCAAGAATTTCCTTTTTAGAAATTCTAAAATGTGTGATATGGGAAGTGTAGAATTTCTCCCTCGTCTCAGTGGGTCGTATATCCATTTTCCTCGAAATTCTCTCGAGATGATGAATCGCCTAAAAATAACGCACCAAATACGTAAAAGAACAGGGAAAAAATAAAGTACTTTTCTAAATGAGGACACTTTCAGACTGTTTCAGCCACTAATCATCATTAAAATACTAACTGAGCAGTTTCGTTTTTTGAAATACTTTGTATTGATTGTTCTGTAAGGGAAAAAATCGGAATGTTAATGGATAATTTTAATAACAGCTCTCAAGCAAAAATGAAATCCCTACCGGAACCCCTGTAACGGGCGCCCATCAACCTGTAAACAAAAGCTAGATTGCCAGTACTCTTTCGTACAGTTTCCTGTTAGATTCGTTTGGGATAGAAGGACTGCACAAAGATGAGAACAGATCTGCTTCGATTATTAGAATGCCTTGAACAGCAGGTTATCTTTCAATGACTTGAGGGCAGCGGGTACTTACAGTTTGGAGAACAACTATGTTCCACCATTTTTTCCTTTTCTCTGGAGGGCTTTAAACTCATTTAGTTGACTAATAACTTTGAATATTACTTTTATTGAGATAAAAAATTAAAAAATACAGCACAGACTTGAACTATCAAAACTAAAGGAAGAGTTGTTGTCACTATATTCACTGAAAACTGAGATACAATAAATGTACTTCAGGGAAAAGTTGAAACTACACGAACATGTGGTATTCACTGTTCTGTATTCTTACACTGACTCATTTGAAAAGACTGGTGTTTTTTTTTCTTCAAACAATGTCAACCCAACAGTGACCGTTCAAACTCCAATTACATGGATACTTTTATTTTATCTGTGAGATAAAAGTTAAAATCAATAAATTTATACTTTGATAAACTAGACTTTCTTTAGCTAGATAAATATGTATGGATATATTTTGTTTTCTATGTGAGATGCATGCACACAAAAGATATCTACAGAAACGACCAGTTGGGTTTCCTTCATGTTTTGTCTGCTAAACCCAACTTGCTTTCATATCAAAACACTGTTCATGTAGTCGTTATTTAATTTCCAAACTTGTCCACAAATTTCAATTGCTAGTATCTAGATCCAGTTTGTTAATCTTCCAAGACATTGTTCATGTAATTTTTTTTGCTCTGGGAGCATGTCCGAAAAATTTGGTTTGCTCTTTCTTTTGCAGGCTGTACCATCCAGCCCTTGTCATAGTTTGTTGTTCTTGGCACATCTTCTCCTTGTCGTTCAACATTGTTACTCTCTTGTAACAGTCCTTTCTCAGCACAATGCCCTGCAGGCACATAGGCTGACTTTTTAACTGCCAACCCACAATCTATGGTTGCAAAGTGCGTCAGCTTGCCTCATCTTCTTGTCGAGAGCGACTGTTCCTCTGAATAAAAACCCTTTTTCACACATCCTTCACAACTGGGATGGGACGGTTTGGAAAACAACTTTTATCTATCACTTTCCCTAGCTTTTGACGTACAACATTGCAGCTATCGTACCTAGGCCAATAGTTGTATAAAAGATGCTGTTCCACCAAAATTTCTCTGTTTCGCCATGAATATCTTTGAATTGTTCACAAAATGCCTCCTGTAAATAAGTGAAAATTCCACATTAATTAAAGGCAACAGAGGGCACATATTTTGGATGACTGTTTATTGTGCTTGGTAAGGACAAGTTTCAACAAAGTCCCCCTTTCCAAGAAAACGGAACATGATTAACTTTATGACACTATGACACCAAGTATCAATGAGCACCACATCTTCAGCAATACTTAAATCCTTTGTAAATCTTATCACAATATTACAGATATTACAGAAAATCTCGAAAAGTTTTTGCTGAATAACTAAGCTAATATTTTCAGCTATGCTTCAATGATACCATGGAATGTTATTAACAAAGGGGTTTCCTTGATCCTTCTGGGAATTTTACAAGGAAGCATGTAGATTTGCATACTTCTCACGGACCAATACAAAAGACCATTAGAGAAGGTATGCAAAATATGGGGTTTCCTACGACAACGGAAATAAGCTTTTGCAGTCTCAAGATTCCCAACCTCTCGTGGAGAATGACTGTTCAGTGAAAAATGTTTTCCAAACTGTTGAATGCTGTCTCCTCCGGCGACATAAACACCAAAGCCTTTATGACAACAGTCCGAAACTACGCCAAAACGTGATCTCAGACCGGAAGGGATTGTCTTTCACGTGAATCATTTGTCAGAGTCGAATCCAAAGTACACCTTTTTTGGTCAGAAATGAATGCAAAAATGTTGGACCGCCCTCAAACTTCTTTCTCCCTTCAGTTGCGCTTTTGTGCGGCTTATCGGTCCGAAGAATCTTACTACAGAAATGTGGTAAACGACTTTGAATGACAATGACATATGGTGAATATTCAAAACATTTTGGTCAATATTTACGCCAAACTCTTTTGTGAGCGCAAAATTGTACGCATTCTTGATCGAAAAAAAAAGCCGCTCAAAACTCTCTAGGGGATCCTTTCACACTAAAGATTTCTTTAGCATATGTATTTTGAAATTATTATCAATGGAAAACCCAAATGACTCAATCGCCAGGATGTTGGAGAACCAGCTGGGTTCATGAATAATTTAAATGAGCGTCAGTTCGAAGCTTCAAAGAACTGCGCCTTTATTAGAACTTCCCGTGGGAAAACAAAATTTACTATCAGTTCTTCCCTTTTCGTGATATCAAAACTTTTTCATTTCACATTTAGAACGAAGACGTGGAGAAAGGAACACTTTTGGCAGAGAAAATATAGTTTTACAGTCATTCAATTCATGAACCATTTCCTTTTGACGTAGTTTCGATTCTACTAGCGTAAAATTTTAAATAGTGAGAAGAAAATACTCGTCAACTTACCCATCCACCAGATTTCTTTATCCATTCGGCTAATGTTCTTTCACTCACATACTCTGAAAGCCAAGTGACTACATCTTCAACTATATCAATCTCATGTTGACTACAGAACACGGCAACTTCGGCAGCGAAGCAGTACAGCACTACAATACGTCCCCAGTTTATTCCCGAGACAAAAATTTCATCTGCTACTGTCCTGAATGTGTTTTCAGCCGTTGAAGTTCTAATATCAAGTTTATCACACATGTTTTTCAGTACCATTTCGTGTCTTGTTTCGACTTCTCTGCCGATTCTTCGAAGTGTAGCAGCAGCGTTGGTTTTCGATTTATAAGCCTCCTTTCCGAGCTTGTTGTAGTAAATGTAGTCACAAGCTAACTCCCGAGCGTATTTCTCGTCTTGGCTTTTCATTCTTCTGTTTCTTGACATGTTGGGAGTGTGATGAATTTCCGAAGGGGCCATTTGATTAACCTTTCAACGAACGATATACGAATCTATCCCACAGGATTGCGAAACTTGTTCTCTGGCTACAGTCTACAGCTGAAAGCGTCTCGAACGCTTAAATCAACTCTTAGAGCTTAAAGGTGACCTAGTCTGATTGGTGGATAAATTTAGAAATTTCAACAATGGTTGCCCTGGAAGCAAACCAGTTTGACGTAACCAACGTACTTGCACGTACGCAACAACAGGCTGGAAGTCTCTGGTAACCAGTTACATATAATGTAACAAATACAATGAAAATCTGCGCAAGAATAGTTTCCTTTGTCTTAAGCCTTCAATACTTTTCTGAAACAAGTTTTCATCCGAATAAATTACAAAATTCCCAGGCAACCGGAAGTTTCCGAACTTTCGGGGGATTACGGGTCCGTCGACACGAAAGAATACAACTAGGATTTCATTTTCGTTCGGTTGGCGTAAGAGGCGTAAGCCAACAAAAGTTTAAAATGACTCTTTAGGTCTATGAAAACTGAAAAGTGGCAGGCTATAAAAGGATTTTTCTTCCAAGGGCTTGTCATCTTCTCTTGCATGATTTTTTTTCTTAAATTAGTCTTAACCAGAGGTAAACAAATCATTGAAAATAAATATTCATTTCAAACGATAATTAGTAAGTTGCATCATTGGACTGCCAAAAATCATACTCTTTAATCAGTCACAGGTAAAAAGAGTTCAACTTTTCAAAGCTGGGAATCTTTCTGCATAGGTTTGGCCAAGTTAACCACGTCTCAAAACAATTTTTAGCTTCGTTGCAGCGAACATTTCCGGCGTCTTTCATCCGGGCTTTCATCCTCGAAGCAGCAAAGTTTCATGCTTGCCTAAGGGTAGTAGATTTCATTTTCGATGATCGACCAAGAAGTCATGAAACGGCTAGAAGTTACGTGAATGGTGATTACGGTTCAAGTTTGAAAAAGACCTTTGACTTAGGCTTTTCGTTCGGTCACGTTCTTAAGAGCACTGTTATGGCAAGTCCTGCTTTGAAAAGGCAATTTCTCGATTAAGAAAATATTTGAATAATGTAAACCTTGTGATAATAGGAATCCTTTTTATGATTTGTACGAAAATTAAAACGGTTATTCCTTGTTTTTATTTTCACACAGCTTTTAAGAGTAAAATTTTCGTTAATGCCGAGATCGTGACAAGGGAAAAATGTTTGACGGAGAAATCGGTCAAAACCGACATCTGAAAAGCGTTTATTGTATTAATCTACCCTACGCTAATGCCCGTTCTTCAAATGACGTGCAAGCTACATATTCAGTTGAAACAGGTGCATTTTTCGTTCTAAAAATAACAAGCAATAAAGTGCAATCATTTCAGTTTCCTAGGAGATAGTCATTCTCTCTACTCATATTTACGAAAAGAAAAGACGTTCGTCCTTGGAACATAGAATAGTCTCATTGAGGAGAATGACACCCACCGGCCAAAATTGAGAAAAAAAACCTTGATGGGTCAATTGTATGGAAACTCTCCCACTTCCATACACAGCACGTTCCGATTTCACTGTCGAAACTTCAATATTTCATGGAAGCGCAGACATTCTGGCTACTCATTGAAAACCTGTCTGATTAATATATGTTAAATGCATTTTTTATTACTATTATATTTTCGGTTCTTCATATTAAGATGATGACAGTATTGATTTTAAAACGACTTGACAATACCCGAACGTTGCATCGTGCTGACACACATGCAGCAGCTTTTATCTAGTGGTATCATATGAATTTTGGCTACAATCAGTTTATCTCGCGATTTTTGCGTGTATATAAATTCGCTAATTCACTAATTTCTTGAAAACTGTATTTAAAAAACTTCAAATGGTCGGTTACGTTATATTTTCAAATTTTATCACCATGTACCTTCCCTTGTATATTTAAAGAACATGTACGTAGTGGAAATTTACTAAAATTCATGACTGATGCGCCGTATTTCAAAAAACTCTACAAGTGACTGTGCACTATTCGGGATTTAGGAACTCCCCAGTATTTGGCATAAAGATGGCCAAGATCGCTTACTGTCGCACCAAGTGAGTTGCCGTGTTGTTATAAAAAAATAACCCAAAAAAGCACTCTCAAACTGACGAAAAAAAAATTTTATAAATCAATCGTACACCCAAACACATCACGCAAGCAGGTACTACACACTGAATGGGCTTTTCAATACTGAGGTCCTTCCTGGTATTAACGTATATATCCCAGTACTCTCTTGAAATTAGCAAGAATTTCAGGTATTTTAAGCTGTTTTGTTCATACTGCTACCGTCCGAGCAAACTTTAACAGGTGAAAGCAAATTGCACCCGTTTTAACAACGAACTATTAATGTATTTTGTCTTGATTGGACAGAAAACAAATGGAATGTATAAAACAGCTTCAATGAATTTATAGAGCTTACTTGTTTACAATTATAAGTTCAAAAACAGAGGTAAACTGCAGAATCAGTGCTAATCAATAATCCTCTTTCAGTCTGTAAAAAATTTGGACAAAAATTAACTTTTTTTGTCCAGTATCAGAGAGAAAACATCATGAGACGAAGTTGTCATGAATAAACTCGACAGCAAAATAATTTTTGGCCACTTCCTACCGATCTCAATATCTTTTCTGATAATTTTCTGTCTAATTACACTCAAAGTCTGGTCGTGTACACGTTTACGGCGAGCACGTGTAGCAGAGTGCATGCAATTATGTGTACTTTTGGGTTTAAAATGTTATATAACACAAACCCTTAGCTTGGCGATACTACAAGTTGAAACGAGTCGCCCTCATGAAATTACTGATCCTCTCTTAAACTCTTCAATTAATGATCTTGACGTGATGGTATGATCATGACCTGTTTAAAAAATGGTCTTCCGTGACTAGGAAAAAAATGTCCTTCTTCTCGTTCTTTACGTATTTATACACAGGAAATCAGCGTTACACTGCACTAAAAACTATCATAAAAAAATGCTAAATAAATATCGTAAACTGCAAAAATCAAACGAGTTGACACAAAAAATCCAACTGATTTCCACGATTGCCTTGTGAGAGCCTAAAGAAGAACAGTAGGCTTTCATTTCTTAAGATGCCGAGAATGTCTTTAGGCGGCACCACTATAGGAAAACTGCGCTTTCGGTTTTCTGTCCTAGGCTTGCAATGCGATTTTGTTAACCGAGTTTCTTAAATCAAGATTAGCCCTAGAATTTGCGAAGTCTGTTGAACGACGAAGTCAGCGGGAAAACGAGCGCGAAACTGGAGAAAAAAGGGAAAGTACACGGAAGTACAATTATGTAAAGGCGGATTAACAACCAGGTTCGTCGGCCTGTATTTTTGTTGGTTGAAGGTCGTTTTTTACTCGCCACATGAGGGAAGAAAAAGTAACATTTAACGTAAAGGTGACTAAATTACTATACATGAAGGTCAGTGTGAGAAAGAACTGTTAGTTGCATGCAATATTGGCAATTTGAAGGTTGCAAGCATGAGAATGGGTTTGTGTTGCATCGAATCAGCGCTATGGGATAACTTAGTGATAACTGGTTAGTAGCCTCTTCCATTTTCTTTATTTTTGCGATGTCCCTACGATCTGAGAGCCTGACACAGACTACCAATTGCACAGGTTACCAATGGGTGCGGTCAATTCGCCAATTTCTCATTTCCCAAAACAAACATTGTTCACCCCCCCCCCCACCCCACCCCCTCCTTCACCAAAAAAAATTACATATTAAGCATCTTCTTCAATTTTATCCCTGAATGGCTGTAATACCCAGGAGAAATAAGAAACGATGGTTATGCAACTGATTTTACGGGGAAAAAACACAATGTCTTTTAGGCAATGAGCAAAAGTGCGCATATTCACCCTCTCCTTCAGCCTAGTGAGATACTGGTTATCAGTATCCGATCCCTTGACTTCACGCATTTTCAGTCGCGAGACAACAGGTGGTTAATAGACCTTATTAATCATTCAGAATATTTCCCCAATTCTGATTGGCTAAAAGCACACGCATAATTCACCATAACCAGTTACTGATGACCAAATTTGGAAGAATTTTGTGTTTAACGAGGAAATGACGTAAAAAATGCAGCCAGATTAACATGACCCGACCCCTTACATTCACGAATTTTCAGGCGCGAGACAACAGGTCGTTAATGGACCTTAGTAATCATTCAGAATATTTCCCCAATTCTGATTGGCTAAAAGCACATACATAATTCACCATAACCAGTTACTGATGACCAAATTTGGAATAATTTTGTGTTTAACGAGGAAATGACGTAAAAAATGCAGCCCTCTACTAGCCTGCAGAGCAGGCGTTTTTTACGTTTTTTAACGAAAACTCGGAGGTACTTTGATCGTGGCCGCCATCTTGACTACCTCTCCCTAAAAAACACTTTTTGACTCGTCCCAACTCTCTGGTAGTATTAACGTCCAAGATGGCGGGACAACGTTATCCCGAAAACAATTGATGGATCTCGCCCCAAAATACGCCTGCTTTGCAGGCTAGCCCTCTACAGGTTAATGCACCGTTAATCGAGAAGACCTGGGAACGAGGTTGAGTTGTTTTCGCGAGAACTAGGCGAAATAATGGCTAAAAACATAGCACAAACAGCAAGAAGACAACTCGGAAGGCGACATCTGCTATTTGGAGAATATTTGCGGAGCTGGAGAAACCTAAACGTGCGCTATCGAAGATAAAATTAACATCGATGCAGGTAAGCATGTTTTAGCTATGTTTTTAAACTAGGAATTATTTTGAATGAATAATAAAGCAATTAATGAATTCGGCTTTCGTAGGATATGAAGAATTAAGCAGATCTCGGAGGGTGTTATCCACCTCAGCCTTCGGCCTCGATGGATAACACCCTCCTCGATATGCTTAATTCTTCATATCCTACTAAGTTGGAATCATTAATTGCTAATTATTTCTTTGCATTCATGCGCCTATTAAAGGGATCGATGGGATATTTGCAATGTCACGTGGTTTCTCAAAGGGCAAACAA